GAAAAAGAAAAAAGGGAGGATAGGAAAGATAAGTTTATACATTGAACATTCATGGTCTTTTGGGATTGTTTGTTGTTTATTGTTTATAAGGATCCCCATTAGCTTTTGTCAAGACAAAGCTAGTCTTCCTGGGGTCCAACACAGAAAATAAAAACATTACATAAAACTTCTTCCCATAATTATACAGTCACTCATCTACAAAACAATTGAGTAAAAATAAATAAAGATAAGAAACCAACATAGGGTTAAAGCGTTCACATCCATTACTGTCTTTGACTGGACAACTCTGAAGCTGAAGGAGGGTGGCTACAGGCGCAATGTCTAACAACCAACCCCAGTTCTGTGAGAGCTACAATGCTGTGTAAAATGCTGGTTTTAAAAAAAAAGATTTTAAAGGTTTGCAAATCATATTTAAGTGAAAATAGTACAAAGAAAGTACAGAAAAAGCTGAAGCTAAAACAACTTTATTGTTTTATGCAAAACATTTGCTCATTTGATGCCAACAAGACATATGGAAAAAGTTGTGTCAGAGGAAAACAAAATACCAAATTTGTTATGTAATTCTACAAAAAAAGGGACAAGAAAATCAGACAATCCCTCGATTTCAGATGAACTTCGATTAAAAATTTACTCACATTTGGGTTGATATGAGTTGAAAGGCAAATATTAAAGGGAGCAGAGATTGAAACTGTAAGCACAGAAGGGTAGTACAGTTGCTGTTGACTTCACAATAATTCAGCGGGGCACTTCTACAGTTCAATCATGTAAAAAAATGAATATCCAAAGTAGCATGAACACCCTCATTGAGCCCCATTTGATTTAACATTTTTGTCAAATACGGACTAAACCAAACCACATATCCCAGACTCACACTGACTGTGCAGCTGTGTTGATGTCGGCTCTCTGAGCTGTAAGATATCCACACTTGCCCAAATGGCCCTGTGCATCCTGGGACATATGCAAAGGCGATGACATGAGACAGGCCGCTTCTGGTCTGACCAGGGCGCTGCTGCATTTTACTCAAGTATAAAAGAGAATTACCACAGTTGCATGAAGTTTCAATGAGCCTCATGAACATTCATTTTTCACATGTATAAGCAGTTTCATTCTGTGACTGGCTTTTGAACAATTTTACAGCAGATTGATTTTTTTTCCCCCCTCAAATTCTTTTTCTTTGGCCTGTTTCAAATATAACCTTGTTTCAAATGAAGGTCTGGGTGTCTTGGCTGCTGATGTCTATTTCCCAAGATGAGAGCTTGTGAGCAAGTAATTAGCAGCCCACATTAATACACGACGTCAACAGAGGAGTGCGCAACATAATGATACAACAAGAGTAAAATACCAACACCGTTCAGCATAAGATGGAAAGGCAGACACTACAACACAAAACCACAAAACAAACATAGTACAGTTGTATACACACACACACCTGAACACCAACATGGAAACACACTTAGATAGAACAGAACACACACACACTTAAATTAGGAGAGCAAATGCATGAGCAAGTTGTTGGGAAGTGCTGTGAGGCATGAATTCAGAGTTATATAATGTCTCTGTGTGCATGTGTGTGTGTGTGTGTGTGTGTGTGTGTGTGTGTGTGTGTGTGTGTGTGTGTGTGTGTCTCAGACATAGGGTTCAGTGACTAATGTATGTGGTGTTGTGTGAGCAGTCAAGCACCAACTCGACTCATTCTGATTGGAGTAGACGAGCAGACAGGAAGCGAAGGGAAATCAGTCTGTATAGATTGAGTAGTGTAGAGTAAAAACTTGCATGGTTCAGTTCAGTGTACACACAGTAATAATTGTGACTGGATTTACTTAAGGTTGTAAAACAGCAGCTTTTTCTTATGGGTTTTCATATCTATAAATCTGCTTGACCCATCTTTTTAATTCAAACTCCTGCAAATAAATTGATTAGAAATTTAGCTTGAGTAGACATGTGGTTTCCTAGCAACTTGCCATCATCCAGACACCACTTCCTCCAACTGGAATCTGCCCCTGGGTGAATTAATTATGTTAAGGTTAAAGGGCTTTCCAGCTTATCCAACAGTCTAGTTAATTTTTTATCCGGCTGCGTTAAATACTTTACTCCAATGGTAAATAACAGAGTGTTATTTCACAACACTGAAGTGTTAACAGAGATATTTGGATCCAGCTTCAAATCAACCAGTAGAAAAGAGTCCAGCACATTTCACCACTGCCTGTTGACGCTGTGGTTAAATGTTGGTTACTATTATAATTTATAACTATTATTGATGGCTGACCACTAAGAAAAGAAAAAAGAGATAATAAAAGCAAGGGAAGAACTGAAAGGGAAGATATACAAAACAAGGCGCTGAATGCAAAGGGCATCTATCAAACTGAAGAAGAAAGACATGAAGCATATACAAAGTGGAAATTTGCATGTTTTTTTCTTGCCTGACTTTACCATCACTGGAAATGCAGCCCAAAGCGGGTAGTAAATTCCATCTAAGGCTAAGCAGGCATCTAAACCGGCGCATCTCCTCCATTGCAGTCGGTAGCTTCCTGCCCTCCACTTTGTCCTCGCGCGAAGTCAGGATCACGTGACTGAAAACCTCCTATAATTAAGGAATTCAGCAGCTGCAACTGTGTCGCTGAAAATCTAAAAATGATTACTGATTATATTGCAATAGTAACAAAGAAAATAATTCCTGTAATTTTAAAAAATACCGCAACACTGCGTTTTGCCATGGGATGCTTTTTCTTTTCTGGGCTTGTTTACATCTGGGTAGTGGAGCACTGCAGCGTTATGCTACAACCTTGCCTAGTGGAGGGGGCTGTACTTCAGATAGGGATAACTCAAATATAATCAATTGGTTTCACTTAATTGTAATTAACTAGGAAAGGTAATTAAGTTTACAGTTTGAATTTATTTGACCAAACATGCACACCCCTCATTGGTCAAAAATTTAAACCCCAATCAAGCTCTTTAACCTGTTTTGCTTTCTCCAACCAACACTCTGTTGTTCTTAGTTTAGTTATGTTTTATTTTGGATTCCCGTTAGCGGACGCAGAACGCGAGCTAATCTTCCTGGGGTCCATGAAAATTAAAAGCATATTCACATAAAAGTAACATTTACATAAATACATCAAATGATATTTACACTTTACAAATATAAAAACATAGATAAAAACAATTACATCACTTAGCTGCCAGAAAAACTCACAATAACAGAGTTACGTTAAAGAAGGATGACTACTCTTCAATTGGAAACTGTCCATCATTTTTCCGATGATTAGGTTGCTGTTTTTGCTCAAACCTCTGGGGTTATTACAACGTAATTGCCCCCCTAAAATATTGGCCATAAAAGCAACCACATTTTAATCTCACTTGACAAGCTGAAAGAAAAGAGTTCAGTATGAAGCAAGCCGTACAGCAGGACTGCAAGATGATTTCTCAGTATGTGAATTTGCTTTTTTCCACCATCCATCTCCATCCACTAATACCAGTTCAGATGCTCATTTAGCCTGCGGACATTCAAACTTTTAATAATGTGGAGCAGTGGATTTACTGTCTGTGACTGCGAGCAGTAAATTTTTAATCTGAGCACCAGTGAAGTGGAGGCTTAGAACGGAGAGGTAGACCGTGCTGGTAAATGTGAAGGCAGAGCGGCACGGCTCGTTCCTTTAATCAGCTGTGTTGACCCCAGTTCAGTTTAGTCACACTGACAAAACCCATTAGCCAACACATGAACACAGGGACACACTTGCTACACAAACTTACGCATGCACTTGAAGACATACAAACAAGGATACACTGTACAGAGAGAACTAGCCTACAGTAAACACACTCACACAAATGCATGCACACTGATTAAGGACGTAACACTGAAGTCAGCAGAATCACTCTTTGGACACAAGAGGGGTGAGTCAGTAAGCCAAATACTACACACACACACACACACACAAACAGAAAGACACACATACAGACACACTAACGCACATACACATATTACAGGAAATGTTGAGTCATAACCCAGGAGTCCCTGAGGAAAAAACTGAAGAAATTCTTGTGAACAAAGTGGATGTGATGCTTCAGAAGAATCCCTTCTGGTTTTATGTGTGTTTGTGTGCGCAAGTGTGTACACTATGTGTGTGTTTGAAGAGGTGTTTATGTTTTTCATAACTCAAAACTCAGAAGAACATTGCTCCAAGCCTTTAATTATGAGATGAATTTCTACCCAAGACATGAGTGATTTAAAAAGATTGCTTCTCATGCCAGCAGTTCACACAATGAAAAATCAATTGAGGTGTGATGTAAATTACAGGTATGTAACATTAATGTGTTTCTTACTCGGTGTTACCAAATCCATTTAACCACTTTGGAACTGGAAGTTTTTGTGTGGCTGCTGAGTCCAACTTTAACCTGGGATTTCCGCTGCATCCGGAACGGCTCCTTTCCGGAATAGCGGCGATTTTCGCTGTACGCCAATTCCTACCGGACTTATTTGTGAGATGAATTTCGTGGCAGATTACGGACAGCGGTAATCACTAGAACTAACAAGAACCCACAGACTCGTGCTATCACGTGATAAGTTGTCTATTCGCCACATAGGCTAACCATATAACCGGTAGAAGTCCATCTCTAGACTTCAAAAATCGGCAGCTCCTCATGCATGGTGTCATCAGGATGAAATGCCATCTAAAAATCTTTCACTTGTTCATTGCCCATTTGTATGGTGTGAAATACAATCCACCTGAAACACAGAGTGTTTTATTTTGAAAAGAAGCCGAATGTTTGATTTTGCATTTTTGCCCGACTTCCTTTCCAGCACGGGTTAATCTGTGCTAAATTTATCTGGCGTGCTCCAGTGTCTGGAAAAAATAGAACTCTTGGGATCCGCTGCGGAAACTGGCAATTCGCAGCAGAACGGAATGAAGCTGGTGGAAATTGACATATTGACTTGAATGGTTGTGATCAGCTATGATTGGTGGATACGGCCTTTTCATGGTTGTTCTGGATGCAGTGGAAATTGGGGGTAAGAAAGCTACACCAGCTTGGATGTCATTTTAGTTTTTGTACTGACATTGTAAATAGTCTTATGCTTTAAATTAAATCCACACAGTGTGACAGTTAATGGTGTCTTTGATAGCGTTTCAATTGATGTGATCCACCCTCTCTAGCTACCACCTCATTTTCCAGCATATCCTTCCTTTTATGAAGGAGTGGAGAATTGGATTTAAGAGTTGGATGTAACCAGAGTGACCAGGTAATATTAAAAGTTGCAAACATATTTGACAGCTCATTAGCTAACATCAAAGGACAGCTAACATTAGTGTAAAGCCTCTTGTATGTTTTTATTTATCTTAAAAAACTCCAGAACTGATGCAAAAAAGATAAACGTTTGCACAAGTGATGTGAATTTTTTATAAATGACTTCTTCAGAAGTTCTTTTTAATGATCTTTTTTGGAATCTTGGTTGATTGATTTACCATTCTTGATTCATTAAAAGAAAATTGCAGCGACACAAGTAAAATTTCTTACGCTGCTCCCACATTTAGGCATAAGGCAACAAGGGTTAGACCTCCTGCGTTATGGTTTATGGCATGACCCTGATACCTGCGACCTTCTGTTGGTGGTTGTGGTGGTAAAAAGCTGAAAGTTGCCACTTAAAAGGGTTACAAATTCAACCGCAACATCATTGTACTTAACATCATATTGTTAGAGTGCTAACATGACGTAGAAGCCGACACCATCATAAAAAGTAAACACTTCTAAATTAGTCATCTCAACACCTGCTGATATTTTAAGAGTGTGATGTAAATTAGTTTTAAAAAGTGAAAAGCAGAGAAAACAAGTGAATGCCACTGTATCTAGTTGATTCTATCATGAAGTAAACTTATGCAGTGATCAAAGCTCACATCTGTTTGTCTTCATTTCATGGCATCATCACGTCAAAGTCACCCGCCAAGAGAAAACCCTTTGAAACAAATCAAAGCCCTTTCACGAGTCACTTTTTTCTTTTTCTGGTCTGATCTCTTTAACTTTTTATTTTCGCCCTGATCGAAGAATACCATATTCTCAAATCTATTCTCTCTCTGTTTCTGGCTCGGAGAAATCACCATGAAGTACGAGTGGAATAGCACATTGAAGGGCAATTTGTATAATAGTGAAAATTTCAGCCCTCCAGTATGAAATAAATCTTGAAGTATCAAAGAGAGGGTTTGTCCTCTGACTCTGTTCTCTCTTCAAACACTTGACTGTTTGAATTTGCCACAGCTGTGTTTAGGAACTGAAAGCTGCCTCAGCTAATGAGCTATCGTCTGTGAACTGAGACAGCCCTTGACTCATCAGTGGCATCAACACAGTATGTGAAACATAGAATAATGGCAGTCGACTTTAAAAGCTCTCACTGCCTCTCTTTGAGTGCCATTGTTGAAAATACATGACTGGTAAAGAAGAACACATCACAAGGAAAAATGAACATAAATATTGAATGCAAGGAATTAAAAACTAATTTGATTACTTATTACTTTCATCAGGGAGAAACAAACTGGCACCACACTTTGACATGTGCTCCTTTTAGGCTAAATACAGCTGGGCTTTACTGTTGTTTTATTGATACTGATGTGTTATTAAATGTGGGGTTTCATAATTAAATTAGCTATATTGGCCATGACATAGACTTTTGTTCATATTAACATGACAGCATCACTCAGGTGCTGCAGATTTGTCTGCTGCATATCCATGATGCAAACCCCCTTGTTTCACCACATCCCAAAGGTGCTCCACAGGATTGAGATCTGGAGACTGAAGGCTGCTAGAGTTCAGTGAATTCAGTTTCACGTTCAAGAAACCAGTCTGAGATGATTTGTGCATTATCCCACTGGAAATGGACATCAGAAGATGGGTACACTGTGGTCATAAAATGGATGAGCATGGCACTAAAGGGCCCAAAGTGTGCCAATATCCCCCAAACCGTTACACCAGCAGCAGCAGCAGCAGCTTAAACCATTACACGACAGGATGGATCCATGCTTTCATGTTGTTTACACTGAAATCCAGACTCACCAGACCAGGGGCCTCATGTATCAACGCTTGCGGCGCAAGAAAACCTTGCGTACGCCAAAATCGGCGCACACGTCCAGATTTATCATCGCGAAACGAGCGTCGGTTCCAGCGCTAATCAACGCAAAGTCAGGAGGTGGTGTAGAAATTGGCGTTGAGCTGGATATTTGCGTTGACTGTGATTCGCACTTTGGCGACGCTGTGTGGCGGTGTTTGGTGACTCACTATGTGACAAGCGTGCACCACATCCCCGTGGCCGGGCAGCACGTCGCCCCACATGACGAACCAGCAGCAGACGGAGGGATGCGAGCTGATCCCTGCCGGGCCGCCGTCCTCGCGCGGGAGAATCTCATCGCCACAGTGTGAATGGGTAAGAAGTGAATACACAGTTCAATGAGCCAAATTAATTTATTTTCTCCACCAGATGCTCGAGGAAATTTACGAGCCGGTCCAGCCGCTCGTTGATCCCCGCGATCCCCCTGATGATTTCTTCCTGCGATTGCAGGACCCCCTCCGCGAGGACCCTTCCACTGCGTCCGGGTGGTCCAGCGGAAGCGCCGCGGCTGGTGGACGCTCCACCGCTTGTCGGCGCGCTGGTGCTGATGCTGGTGCTGGGGCCGGGGTGGCCCGAATGCCGCTGGTCCTGGCCGACGACTCCGAGCCGGCGGACGGGCTGCCGCGGGCCAGGGTTCCGCAAGCCGGCGACACGGCCGACACATTAATTTCTGTGACACAATAAAAATATTAGTTCATTTCAATTCCTGCTTCTGTGTATCTGTTGCGTTTACATCTCTCTCCACAGTATCATAGGTAATGTAATCCAGTATTTCGAGGTCAGTTATGCACATTACAGTTGTTTATTGCATAAAAAGTTATTGAAAAATGAAGTTAAGGGCGAAGTATAAATCACGTCTAAAAATAGACTGAATCCCGACGTTGAAATGAAGTATAAACTTAGACTAGACGTCTAATATACGTCTTTTGCTCAGTGGGATGACAAAGCATGTGGACATTTGTGTGACACGCCACTTACCCTATAATAATAATCGCCACCACCCGCTGCTCAAACGGTGTGAGGGTCTCCTCCCCCGGACCCCCACCTGTCTGGCCGGTACTCCTCCGGAGGGCAGCTGTACGCCGCTTGACCTCCACCTTGAGGTCCGACCACTTTTTTTTAATCTCCGCGGGGGTGCGTGTCTCGGAACCCACCGCATTCACCCTCTCGCAAACTTTCTCCCACTCCAAACGTTTTTGTTTTGCACTGACGCCACTGGACAGGCTGCCAAACAAAACACGCTGTCGCTCCTCCACCTCCGCCACCAGCACCTCCACCTCGCACGCCGTAAATGTAGTTTTTCTTGTCATTTTGTCTGCGTGCGAGGACAGGGAGACCCTATTTAAATAAATCTGCATATTTATAGGAGGGCGTAACGGGGACGGGCCCAGTCACTCCGACATCTGCGCTCAATTCCACGCTGATTGGGATTTATCAAGGAAACACACGTGGATTTCGGCGCCCGCACACATTGATACATACGGATTTTTTTCAGCGTGACGGACCTTGCGTGCGCTCGTTTCTGGTATGAGTTCCACGCAAGTGTTGATACATGAGGCCCCAGGCATCGTTTTCCAATCTTCTATTGTCCGATTTTGGTGAATCTGTGAATTGTAGCCTCAGTTTCCTGTACTTAGCTGACTGGAGTAAAACCCGGTATGGTCTTCTGCTGATGTACCCCATCTGCCTCTAGGTTTTGATGTGTTGTCTCTTTAGAGATGGTATTGCCTTCCTATCGTCTCAAACCAGTCTGCCCCCTCTCCTCTGACCATTTTCATCTATGCACCTGCTGCACACTGGATATTTTCTCTTCTCCAGACCCTTCTCTGTAAACCATAGATATGGTAGTGCATGAAAATCCCAGTGGATCAGCAGTTCCTGAAATACTGCCACATTCAAAGTCACTTAAATCCTTAAATCTTTTTCATTCTGAGGCTCGGTTTGAACTTCAGCAAGTCATCTTGACTACATCAACATGCCTTGCTTTTGTAAATCATACAAAGGCATTAATACGAGTTTAAGTCTGTTCAATGAATGTCAAAAAAATGGCTCACAGGCGCTTTAAAACATTTTTTCTTCTTCACTATCTTTGCAGTGTACCTGTTGCTCCAAGTTACTCAATAATTTAATACGTGAGGTGCTTTGCATTGAGCATTTATGGATGATAGCAGTGTAGAGGGCGAAATATGTAGCTATAAGGTGTGCATATACAGAGTCGGATTGTGATTTATAAAGGCAACATTGTATGAAAGTGTGCATTATTAATGAACTGGGTTATTTATTTTTGCAGATACCACAGTTTTTGGCACGGATTCACATTAAATGAGGATTCTACACCTTGTTTTGTAAATGAGACCGTAGAAACCAAAGTGGGGTCATGATTTATGGTTTTAGAGAGAGATTTTTGATGTAATATTAAGGCGGTTTATGGCATGAGGTGTAAAGCTGCATGAACAAAAAAACACTGAAAGGTACAGCTATCTGTGCAAATACTAACAGCCTTAACAGCCTTATACAGCATATTTAATGAAGTTACAACTTTGATGATATATTGCGTCCTCATAATCATGAACCGGAATATAACTCTCAGGTGAGCATGATGGGAATGAGGTGGGCTTTTTGCTAAATACTTCGATGCCTCAGAGCTTTCCAGGTTGTTCATTACTTTGGTGTCTAATAAAGTAGCTGAATATGCTAGTGCGTGTTGTTTGAGGTCATTTTCCTCATATTGCTCTCCCATCCCCTGATAGTAGACGGCAGAGAAATGATCCCTGCTCGAGGTGTAACAGGCGATGTGTGCAATTTGGGGCAGTTCCAAAAAAAATTAATGAATTCTGATAAGCTTGAGAATAATAATGCAACCTTCTGCAATGGAGTGATGTTGAGCTTATAGGTCTATTAACCTAATAAGCTCATTTATTTTATTTTAATTATCGCATAATTACTGTTGGATGTCATGCTATAATTTATACTGCTTGGAGTTTGATTGACAGGTCATTCTTGCAGGCAGTGAACAAGCAGATCTCTGTCACCTTTAATCTTTGCTCATTGGCTTTTCTACACAGTGTCCTAATGTCTTCTAAACACTGTGAATGCCACTGACACTTTCCATGTTTATTGAATCTGTCATTTTAAAGCTCTTGTAAGTAACTTTCATGAATAACCCCACTTTTAAGTCGACCGTTGTAGCATCTCTCAGCTTATTGTTTTGGTAACACTCTCTTATAGCATTGTTCTGTGGCAGTCAGTTTCTACACACCTGTTTTGTTTGTCTGTGGCTCATTAGATTAGTGTCATTTCATACTAAGTAGGACTAATTAAAGGTCAATAGAAAGGTTATACAAGAAATTAAGAACCTAAATGTCAGAACTGAAAACCAGGAAAAACAAGGTAAAGTAAAAGTCACGTCTATAAAGCTCTGTTTTTATTGTTTACATCTTGACGGTGACAACGGTGGTTTCATTTACTAACTTAGATAAATCGAGAGTAGCTTTAATGAGATGGCTTATTGCAGGAAAGGTTTGCATTTATATTTGAATGTATATTTCTTTGTCACTGTAAGTGGGCTTTTGTCTTCTTGTGTATGTGTGAAGAAGTGTTTCAGTATGCGTTGTCAAGGTATTTTTGAGTGTATTTACAACCATGCACTGGTGTGTGGGTGTGATCCTGTGGATTTATTTGTTGGTTTTGTGTGTATGTGAGTGTGTCTCTCTGTGTGTTTTGCAGATGGCTTGAGGAACCCTCTGCCTGTGGCAGTGTCAGAAAGGATCTTGTCAGGCTGGAATAAGGGAGGAAGGAAGAAAGGGAGAGAAAACAGAGCGGTGCAGATGAAGGAAGCTTTGGAGGTTGGACTGCGGTGCCTCTTCCTCATCTTCTCTTCCTACGTCACTTCTTTCCTCCTTTTTTTTGCACTCTAAAGCAATCTTCACCTACTTTAGTAATTGGAAAGAAGGGAAGATGTGGAACACGAGATTTCTTGGCTCCGTTATTTCAGGCCTGTTGAACTTTTTCATATCTATGAATTGAACAAAAAAATGTTCACAATTGCTCATGTCTTTCCTTGGTCCTCTATTGGACTATAATAATATCAGGCTCAGCTTCTTGCCCCTGGCTACAATTTCTCTTTTAAAAGAACAGAAGCAGAGCACAAAAGTGCTCTCCGAGAGTGTGTTTGTGTGTGTAAATACTTTATGTGCAACTTCCAGCCCTGTGATGGCCTGACCAATCAGCTCAACTTTTCAACTTTCCCTGAACAAACTTTGTCTAAACCACAGCCGGCCACAGGGAGGGGAGGAGGGGAGGATGGGGAATAAGGTGGGAGAACAACAGAGATGAGAGGATGAGACAGAAAACTGGCAAAAGAGGCAAGATAGGGCAACAGTGGAGACGACGCTCGGAGGTACAGAGAAAGGTAAACAGTGGAGGCAGAACAGAGGACGTAAGGTTAGAGGATGTGGGGAATCTAGGGATATCCGAGGCTAAGGGAGGAAAGACATTGGCGAAAAGGGCGGCGAGAGGAGACCATCACGAGTTCATTATTCATTCTCAGCATGACGCTCAGTCTCTGTTTGCCGTCTGTCTCTTATCTCCTGGTTTGTTCACCTTTGCAGACAACCCCTACTCTTCTTTTTAGTGTGACAGCTTTTTCTTAGTGTTGCACCAACTCTTAATAATTATTCATTTTTAGGCGCTGTCTTGGCACCAATCAAAAAATTGTTGCGGTATTAATACAAGCAAAAAAAACAGTTTTCTCTCTTGCCTGTCCTGTTACTATTTTAGGGCTGGTAACAGCAAGGGTTCATCTTAATACAAGGAGAGACAATTAGCCACAAGACTAACAGTGTCAGCAGTGCAGCTCTGATTCGATTATTTCTACGTTATTTACAACAAACTATCTATTTGACCAGAAAAACCAGCATGGTGAGATTGTATGTCAGAGGACACTAAAGACAAGATGGATCAGGACTTCTTTGTCCATGCTTTGGTTTTATGTTAACCAAACTTGCTAATGTTAGCCTTAGATGATTTCGGTGAACATGAAAGTACTTGAGTTATTCCAATAGCAATACCTCTCTTAGAAATACTCTTTAGTGCTGCTCAGTATGTGCTATCATTTAAATGTAGTTCCAGCGTAAGTTCAGTCAGGAAGACAATAACTGCAGTCACAGCTGCTTAAGTGTCTTTTCCACTCCCACGCCTGCTCCCTTTTCCTGCTGTCATCATTCAGGGCAGTCATTAGTTAATCAGCCTATCACAGCTGTCATTCCTTATCCAATAGCATGGTAGCACACCCTCACAGTCAGCCTATCCCCGCTCTGCTCTCATTCTAAAAGTGAATTTCTTCACCAGCCTAAGGACTCCATTGGGGGGATTTTCTTGCTGCCATGCAGATCAGACATCCTACGATCTCAAAAATCACCCCACAGAGTCCAAAGGCCAAAGACGTTCTGTCAAGCATCATTCTAATAATTGTCAAATATTTTTTTCTAATTTTTAAATGTCTCTCCTGATTGAACTGGGGTTAGACAAGTCAATGAACCAATTTGATGTAATTTTCCAGTTTCCCAATAAACCCCAATTAAACAGTATTCTGGTTAAATAGCAGTAATCTGGAAAGGGTAATGATGAATAGTGAATGGGAAGTCATGTTGATAAGAATTTTGGCCCATCATGAAGCAAAGGGATCTTTCACCATCCAAATATTACTGTAAAATGTGTATAAATATGATGATTTTTGTTTTAAGAAAGTGACTTTCTTTAATGATTTACAATATGTTGAGTAGATCTGCCTCATGTTGTTATATTAGTGAAGATAATTATACCAGCTATTATACTGCTACAGCCTAATCAATATATTTTTGACAAAATGATTAATTTGAAGGACACTAAGAATTAATTTAATTGGAATATATGAATTTGGAATCAAAGTTCTGCATCAAACAAAGATGAACGAGTGCTTTGACTATCATCCTGATAATAAATGATGAATAAAGGAACAGCCTTTTAAAATGACGGAGCAGTTATGCCTGCAGTGACAGCGCAGCCTCATAATCAATTTACAAAATGGTCCGCTGGTTAAGATAGATGTCTCAAATTTGACTAAACATCCTTGTCTCATCCTTGAATTTCCCTCCGATATTACTTTCAGAGCCATTAAACAGCATGCATAAAAATGCCCGGCCGGAGCCAAGCATAAATCTAAATCTCTTTCCTTGACATCTGTACCTTTGCATTAATATCATATTATGGTAAGTGTCATCTTTGATGATGCAGTGGCTGCCAAGGTCTTCATAAGAGACTCCACTTGTTTGTTTTTTTCTTTTCTTTTTTTCTTTTTAATGGTGAAAACTAGAGGCTGCTACAAATTTACAACATTTAATGTATAATTTTAAATCTTTGTGAAGATATTTTGTCAATCTTAAATTCCTCTCCAGACTTTTGGATTCATCCTAACATTTTCATTTGAACTTCAGTGTCATTATACAAATCATATTTGACTTCTTCTCTCGCTGTTTACTCATTAATATTGATAGTTTTGTTGTTTTCTTTTCAGATTGCTGCTTGCTGCTACATTTGCATCTATATGGGATTATGGATGAGGACTGAGAGTCACTGCTCCTTAGATCTGGATGAAAAGCAAACAGTTCTCACTAAAAAAATAATACTATAAATATCTGAATAAGTATCAATGTGAGTTGGACTGTACAGACTCGATGTGTGTTAAACCAATTAGATTTATAGAACGTCATTTACACTTGTATATGTTCTGTCATTAACCGTTTCTCTTTATCTCTCTTTCTCTATCCCTTTGTTTTTTCCATCTGTTTCCATCCCTCTTTCTCTCTGTCATCCTTGTTCTCTTCTTCTGTCAGTCCTGCTGTCAGTGTGGTGCACTTTCTGACATGCTACGTGTGTCTCTGTGTGTGCGAGAGAGTGTGTGTTAGTGTGTGTGAGAGAGAGACATCAAAATAGGTTACATTTGAAAGAGTCACATTTTGTATTCAAACCCTGAGGGGATGTCTGTCCTTCCACCAAAGGAGAAATGTGCAAAGCCATGATCAGCCCAAAACTGACAAGCCAAAGCTGAAAGTCACATTAACAATCAATAAAGCTTATGCAGATTCACCTTACTTGCAAATATACACTTTTGAACCAAAACACGCACAAACCCCCCGAGAGATATCTGCGCTAAACGGGGAATAGACACTGTCGCTGAAAACAAAGGTGATAAAATGGCCGACATTACCACCTGTCACTCTCTGTCTCTTCTCCCTTTCACACACAAACACTCTCACAGGTGACCTTAACACATCCATTTGTGTTTGCAGAAAAGTGACACAGACTGAGATCACACTTCGAAAAGATGCCAGCCAGGCATCAAGAGCCGCTGGGATTTACAAAGTCAGAAAGCAGAGCGAGGAATAAAAAGAAGCTTTCCTGCTTTGATACGGGTAAGAGTGCCAATGTCAGGCTCTGAAGGGGGGGTACACCGAATGGTGACTTCACACTTGGGAAAGGGAAGCCACTTCATAATCCATAAACTACCATCAGACAGCTGTGTATGTTAGAATTCAATGACCTCCTGACTTTGTTAATATGCACTAGCTCAGATAGTGCAAAAACAACCTTTCAAAACAACACCTAAGAAAGTGACAAACACGTTAAATTTTGTAAGAATGTTTCACCATGTCAAAGAAAAGGCCGAGAAAAAATAGAAGAATTTACATGTTTGATGAAAGAAACCACTTGACAACAGCTAATGATAGCTACCACTCCATACCTAAATTCATCTTAGCTTTGAAGGTGCTGAATGCTAACAAAGATTTTAAGGTGTAGAATGATACAGAGTCAAAATCCAAAAATTACTCTGATTACATATCATATGTTTTAACTCACAGGTTTTGTTCCCACCTCAGTCAACGTTAGCTTGGATGGAGCCCAATGTTACTCAAGTATGATGCTGTACAGCTAAAGAAGACAGTCTTGCTAAAGTCTGAATGTTAAGTGTTTGATAACACTTGCAACCATCTGACAGAAACCTAAAATACCGTTAGCAAAAAATTCACGGAACCAAACCAAATAGATCATTCCAGCATTGAGCTAATACCTGGTTAATAATCATATCAAATCCAGTCCTCTGCCACTGTGTCAGCTGGAAAAGTGTACCACTACTGACCAGGATGTCCAAAGAAAGTGAGTGTCATGTGACCATCATGGACCCTATTTTCGGTCAGGTTGTGTGTCCAAACGCGTGCCAAAGAAGCTCATCAGATCAGATATAGATTAGAATATATCGATATAGATCTAAATGTTTGTGCTGACTCAGATTAATAGTTATTGTTGATTATTTATGGCACTGAAATGTGCCTGACACTGTGGAAACCTGCCGGTGAGGCATCGGTGACAAATGCGCACTATGCCGCCAGTCTACCAAAATACCACTAGACCAGCTGCGCTCCACCTGCGCTGAAAGCTGACTAGGTTTCAATCGGCGAGCTTTCAGCGCACTTTACACACCAGTGGCGAGCACGAAAATATCACTGCGCCAGCTGATTCTGTCGACACCTCCCCCTGCCACGCCACCACGCCCAGCTTGGCGGACCTTGGTGCGCCTAAGTCTACGAAAATACCAAACTGGCTGTACGCCTGGCTCTGCCAGACGAAAATACCAATGTGTGGGGTCCAACACCCTCTGCCGCATTGCTGGCGGGCACGAAAATAGAGTCCTATTGATTGCCCCATGTTTTGGTGAGTCCAACAACTGGATTACAATCACTTTGAATATTTTGTGCATGAGTACGGTATTTTTCCCACTTTAACTCCTCTTGAGTTTTACACTCACTCTTGGAAGCTGATAAAATTGCTCTCTTCTGCTTTTGAACAGTAAGTGACTCATCCCAGCAGAGCAGAGTATGGGGTTCCTGGAGGAAGAAAATATCCTCCTGCTGTGCCAAGTTTAAGGATGGGTGCAGCAGGTTGGGTCTTTGTTGGAGTGTAAATAAGTTCTTTCAGATGTAATTCACAGACAGCTCACTGTACCTCCACCTTTCTCTAACTTTTCAGGTTGAATGCTCCAGGCCTCTGTAAACTTTGCAATGCAAGATTAATTTAGGCCGAACCACATTCATGATTTATTCAGTTCTACTTTTCTGTTTGTTACACAATTGTTTAGCTGGTTGAGCAGAATTCCAGGAATCCTGGGTGGAAAGTCAAACAAGAAAAAATAAATATTGACATTTCCATGAAATGGCTTTTGTAGAAATCTATATATGGAGGGTTAGGGTGGCGTATATGTGGAGGGTTTGTTCTGGGTTGTCCATTTTACAGGAAGACAGTAACTAGATGTTGTAGAATGGTATGACGGGCATATCTATCATGTATTTACTTTGTATTACCACACTTACTCATGATTAAGAGTCCTGCCTTCAATGTTTACAAGTGTGTTTTTTGAAAGGGCTGTACTGGATTTGTTTTTAGCACACAAAAGTTGTTGGTGATGCTGCTTTACCGTCCGAAAACTGGGTGAGTCATGGCATTTTAGGACCAGTGTTTCCTCTTCCTAACTGTGAGGGTCCTATCTAAACAATTTAAAGAGTGCAGTTGAAGAACAAATCAGGGCATGTCCAATTTCAGTATCTTAAATAAATGACAAGTAATCTGGGTCCAAAGTGAGGTGTAGGAGGCAATGAGACGAGACTCTCTTAAATCCATTGGTTATTGTCAAATAATCACAGATTGTCCAGATTAGAGCCTGTGAATGCATGCAGTACTGCAGTGTTATGCCATTAACAAAAACACAAAACATCATTAAATTCCCTTTACCTTGTATTTAATGGAATGTTTTATAAATCAAATTGAGGAAAAATGCATTAAATATTATTTTTCTTAAAATTACCACAAAAAAAAAAAAGTAGGCCCATCATTCATTGCATTTTTCTGCCCTCGGCTTTCCTTGAACAATGTCAGCAGCCTCTTAAACAAAATTTTAAACCACATTTGATAAAAGTTAAAGGGCATTCATAATTTACTCTAAAGTAGGAGTGCTTAAGTCGCATTCTCCATATGAAAGCAACGGTTCTGAGGAGTCTGATCACTCTTTAAGATCTCAGTCAGACATTCAAGCGTTGCACTGCTATACAGCCCTGACTTTGAAGATGTGAAGATTTTACTTGAATATATTCTGTCTGTCCCGATCTCACGCCTCACTGTTGCCTCGTATGTTTCTACTCAGAAATATAGATTGGCCTGCTCACTGAGGTGTACAATGCAAGCTGTAGAGGAGGGACTAGTATGCATGAGGGAAAATCTGGAATGACAAGGGAGTTAAGTTCATCATCCATGGCCAGCCTTCCAACCTTTGGCTGAACTGCAGGGTATATCAGTAAGAGCTGGTCAGTCATGGTCAAATAATGTCCAGAAGCCATGGGCAGTAATAGTGTAGTATGTCACATATAGGAGCTAAATGATATGTCACATATCACTGGATTTCAAAAGAGAAAAATGTTGAAAGTCAGCTGTATTGTAGAAAAGGAATAAAAGAAGCAACAGTGGATGACGACACTGCAATAGAAAAAGCAGTGACGATAAAACACTTGATGAATCTGGATTTTTATGGTGACTGCCGTTTGAGTGCTCTACTGATTGTCATCTGTCATTATGAGAGACAGATGTTAGCCTTGCTCTTCTGTAGAGCTGACTCTTTTCTGTCAGATTACTCAAAGGCTTTCCTTCTGGAGCCATTAGAGCTCTGTTTCTTTTCTGGCTTTTGTGTCCGAGCACTTTTTGGAGATTGAGAACACAGTTGAGGGTAAATGGGAACAGACAATAATGAATACGAGGAAGCTCGCCAAGCACGTACATCTGCCAAGGCTGTCCAATTCTGTGAGCATGACAAGGATACAGTGAAAACAGGCTGGATTGTGTCACAGACCCTCCAAATCTCAAAGTCTGAATATTGACCTTCAAACAGAGGGGTTGCTGATCTGAAATCAGTCCTGTTGCCCTGCAGGTAGTAACATTAAAGAGGGCAGGAGAGAGAAAAAGTTATTTTTGTATAAACAACTGCAGGATGATAATTGCATGCATGGACATTTTTTAAAGCTCTATATAGCTGTTGTTTTTTTTGTTGTTTTTTTTTTTGTTTTTAATGCATTTAATCCTGACTTCTGATTTGACCTCTGACCCCTAGCTTTACTCAAAAATTCTGGGTTAAAGTAAAAGGTAATAACTTCTGTTATCTTATAACTTAGCTTTCAAGGCAGTATTAAGACTAGTATAATAAATCATAGTTTGACAATTATATGAAAGAAAATTTCATATCATTCTATTTATGATATAGCTATTTATGTTTTATATACATAAATATATATATATATATATATATATATATATATATATATATATATATATATATATATATATATATATATATATATACGTGTGTGTGTGTGTTAACAAATATATAAACAAAATGCATTGCTTGTGTAGTGGTGTGAATTGAGTCCTACTTGACTCAATAATAATGATATTCAAAGTGATGCAAAATCTGGGTGCAGTTATTTTGTAGTCACATACAGGACAATGTTAATCAATCAATTAATCAACCAGTCATTCAATCTTCATATATATATACAAACGTACATAAATTTAGATCAATCATTAATCATTGATAACACATGGTAGTGTTATACAGACTTCAAAAATAAAACAACAAAGCTGTAACCTACTAAATGACACATTTAAAAATCTTCATTTGACGACTAATAGAACATTTAAATAGCAGTTTCAAGAGAACATCATTCCAGAGGCTCTCTTTGTCTTCATGTTTTCAAGCCACGAACTATTTTTGGTCAGGGTTGACTTAAGAAAGCAGATATTTAAAAACAGATCTCCATCAAAAGAAATCTAAGCCATTTCACAAAAGTGTTTCAGACCCGCCCAAACCAGCATGAAGTAAACCACCTGACCTCCCGAAATCCTCCTGGGAACACAGCAGCCAGGCCTGGAGCTGCCTCCAAGCATCACCTGCTGCTGAGCCCCCCTCTGGCGAAGCCTGAAGTCTTAGGCAAGAATATTTGGCATGTCCTGACAGCCCCCAGTAGACACCAGGCCCTGAAAAGACAACCAGAAGGCAGACACAGCTCTTCTAAATAAAATAAATTAAGAAGACTGACTTCTGTCTGCATAACTGACCCAACTCTGAGTGCTTCCATGTTTACAGAACATGCTTTATGAATCATCATCATCATTGTTTTAGTGACTAATTATAAACTGGTGTTTTGCCATAAAAATCATAATATCTAACTCTAATATTAGTTAGTTAGAGAGACAGTTAGTTAGAAAGATTCAAAAGAGTTTAATAAACATTCAGGACATGTTTTCTCAGGACTTTGACCAAAATAAAAGTCAAGAGTTTTTTGATGAAACAGCTGTTATCAATCTGCTGAAGTCGCATTGTCCCATTAAGATAAATCAGTCAGCTGTTTTTAATCAACTCCAGTTAGTGTTATTTTCAGTGGCACTTGACAGCTGCAAGCAGTGAGTGCTCACAAGGGCTGGATGAATGAATTATTCCAACAGACATCCCATCTTATGAAAAAGGCTGTTTCCTTGGACTGATTTATTGGAACCTTGGTTTGAGCACATTGGTCGCTAGTTTTACTAGTTTGGTTGAATGAGCAATCTTTTACTACTAACAGTTTTCAAGGTAAGTGAATTCAGCCATTAAAACCAAACCAGTTCTAATACTATATCACTTAAAAATTCAATTCTTCAGTATTTATTTATTTGCTCATGGGGTCAACCTCGAGTGGACACTTGCAGAACAGCAGTTTTGGGAGCTTTCATGTTGGCCTGATACTGAGGTCCTAGAGGGTCCACTCTGTCTGCTTTTATGCTGTAACTACCTGACATTTTGCACCACAGTAAGATGGCCTTGGAGTTGGAGGTACCTATCATTACAACTGCTTTATTGCTCAATTGCAAGCTAGATTGAAGGTCATAGCGCAGTGAAGTTGGTAGATCTGCCTTATCATCAAATAGGAAGCCACTAAATGGTCCCTGCTCTTGGCCCTGAGTTACGGACAATGAAAAATAACAAACTAAGCCAAAGAAACTGGACTTCCTACTGAGGACATGATAGGCAATCATGAAGCAGGCAGGGGGGTAGGACCCAGATGCAGACAGTTACAGTCAAAATGCAGAGACAGACAGAGTTGATTCAAGCCACCGACAGTCAAAGGGACTGCAGGTACTTTGGCTTGAATTGATGCACAATGCTGATGTACTTGGCCATGGAGGTTTTGTCCCCCCCTTGCAGGAAATTATGTTGCATCATAAACAGCCTCTATCTTCACAACTGACCATCAGAATTCTTCTTCATGTACTTTTACAACTATTTGTAGCTTAAACACTCGATTAGAGAGCCTATTAATGTGTATGCACCATTGATTTAATTAAATGTGGCTTAAGCAAAAGTATGTTACCTCACAGGAACACTCAAAACTCGATAGCACACTCGATAAGCGCAATTGTTATTGATTTTCGGGTTTTGACAAATGCTTTATGGGTATTTAATGGACCTCATTACTGATGCCATCTTTACTCAACACAGGGACTGGGCTGACTGGCCTCCCCTGTGGGCAACACACCTTCTAGTGAGACGTACGCCTCACAACCCTAAGTCAAAAAAAAAAAAAAAAACAGCATGTGATCAAATTGAGTTCACCATTGGCTATCGCTATCCATGAGACATGCTCCTCTTGACAAGACTCCCTTGTATGACCAATGTATATGACCATGTATGGGCATCCATTGGAGTCAGTTGAAAGCCAAGTGTGTCTCATGGTGACGCTCAAGTGTACCTTGTGCGACTGGCTGGGACCCTGACGGTTGTGACAAAGCGTTGGTGTTTTGACAACCTGCGATGAGACGGGTCTGATTACGCAAGAAAGCCTTGGCTATTTGTGGCTCTATATTACCGTTACTTGACCTCACATGTACTGGTAAACCATCAGTCAGAGGGGGATAACTCTTCTGCCAATTTTAAAAACAAATAACCTATAATGTTAGAATTACGATTCATAGTGTAGCGTATTAGAAGAGTCTTGAATCTGGTTGTGCAGTCAGATTTTTCCATCATTAAAGGGAGTGTGTGTGCGATTGTACTGTGTGTGTTTAATGCAAAATACACCAGTGTGTGATCACCTGAGACACACATGTGCTTAAATAAAGCTAAACATGCCCACATGAACATCCCACTGTTGAGTAAGTGTCTTTTATTTATCCTTATTTATCCTTATTTGAGATCACCACTTGTGACCTACTTGGAGTGAAACTCCTCCTCCAGCTCTGACGCGTGGTTAAAAATAACTTGGAGGAAAACACACACACGTACACATACACACATTCACGCACACACTCCTACTTTGAAAACACATGCACACTTAAATCCAAATAAACACACACACAGAAGATCCTCAAACACACACTCACGCTGTTCATTCCACTTTGCTGACCACTGTGATTCCCATGTATACACACATATATACATGCATGGGAGGCTTACACAGTCAAGTCTTTTACATGCAGACATGCAAACACACACACACACACACACGCTAACATGTACGTCTCATGCGGGGAAACACAATGACACACCCTCACTGTTATGTCAGTGTTTGTTTGTCACTTCTCCTCCGCCTGCTACATCATTCTTCTCATCTCCTATCTTGTCCTCCAACTGCTCATCCCTTCATCCCTGACCCTGTTATCTTCTGGAGCATCTCAAAGAGACGGGGAGAGGAGGGGGGAGGAAATCTTTTCCTCTTCTTCCTCTCTTCTTCCTTTGTTAATCACGCTCATTTCTCCCTTCGCTTCCCTCCTTCTTTTTGCCCCTCCAGTTTGGCTTTGGCTGGAGCAAAACAATCAGAAGCACTGACTTTAAATTGGATTTCACATGGATACACACCTCTACTCAGGGGTGTACAACATACAGAGGAGAAACAATGAAAAAAAAAAAACACTCTTAAAAGTACAAAGAAAAGTCAGGTCTCTGCATCACTGGCGTCCCTCCTCCTCCTCCTCCTTCATCATCCTCCCTCTTCTCTGTTTCACTTTTCCTGTCTTCGCTGCCTTTCCACTGCAAGGTCATTAACTTACACACTTACACTTGGGGGGTGGCAGGAAAGATGAGGACATGGAGGAGAGAGAGAGAAAAAAAGAGTTTAACTTGGTGTGGCAAGGACATGAAGCAAGGAGCAAAGTGGATGAAGGGGAAATGAAAGCAACAAAGGCAGCGGAAACATGAGTAAGAAATCAAAACATATTTGATGACGTGTTTTTTTTATTTGGGGGAAACTCTAGACTTAATATTAAGAAGGAAAACATTTGGTGCATATCGAGTTCTTAATCTCCTGTGTTTTGTTATGTCTGTGTAGTCAACATTTTACATTTTTTAAGCGGCCCGCTCTTCCTGACTGTAAACAAAGCCATTCTTCCTCCCCATCCTGATTGGTTGTGAGGCAGACACAGACCAAACAAAGTTAGCGTGCTATAATATCGGACTGTAGAAACCAACCAGAAAGTATGGAAAACGCAAGCAAAAAAACTAACTAAATACAGGAGACTCTGGTGGAATAACAGGCGCTTAAAACGGAGGTAGACCGGACAAGAGCTAAAAAGCCGGGTTAACATAAGTGTAATGGGGGGCGTTTCGGGAACCACTTTAATAAAGTAAGCCAAGTGTCTGTAAGAGAAGTATTTCTGTATCCTAGTTGTAGAAGTACTGCAAACATTGTGTTTGCTGGTAATTTGCAGTAGCACTTATGCTTTTTACTTTGACGTTGACTGGGCCCCATTTTTAAATATCTGAAGTATCTGCATTATGAATTTAATTAAAACGATACAAGCAAGGACGGGCTT